AGAATGGAGAGAAACAAATGCAATTAAAAAGTTGGAACCAAAAACAAAAATCACAATCTATGATTGGACACAACTTTGGAAGAAACTTAAAGCAACTAAAGGGATACACAGCACAACAAGAAGAAGTAGTACAAGAAGATGCGCATTTATCAAGTGTATAATGGATAAACTTCCAACTTTAGAAGAACTCAACAGAAGACGACCAGATATATACACAACAATAGAATGTCAAGTATGTTAAGATAAAGTTAAAGAAACACAGTCACACTTGGCATCATACAAAGGACAAGCAAATCTCTGAAAATGAATCCAAAAGGTGACCATCACAACAGCTTGGAAAGGGTTAAAAGAAGAGGAAAAAACTTACATCCCACTATACATACTATATACAGCGCTTTTCGGAAAAAGTGAAGCAGAAGAAATAGAGATAAGAGAAGCTTTAATCAAAGGCCTAATTCCAGAAAAAACACAAAAAAGATTAACACAGCTCCTAAATATCAAAGCAAGATAACAGTTTATAGAGAAAGTAGCAAAGACAGCATGGGACAAATTCTATAAACAGGTTTGAAGAATACAGTGTGAAAAGATTAATGAATGAGAAAAGAAAGAAGGCATAATGACCAAAATGAAGAAAAAAGAAGTTAAGAGAAAGGATCCAAAAAAGAAAGGAAAGGCAAGTCAGCAGAGAATCGAAGAAGAAAGAGAACTAGTAAAAGAGAAAAAAAACAGGATTAATGAAGAAACTAGGAAAACAATGTTGAGACTTGTTGTGGAAGGGAGAAGACCTTTCCATTATGGACTTTAAGTAGTTAGACAAGTAGTCTACTTCTGCTTGAAGTAGTGCAGCAGGTACCCCTTGGGTAGCCAGATGATGCTAGATTTAGTTGTTAGGTAAATCTATGTAATTGCAAAAGTAATTTCAAGAATCTTAATAAAGTACTAGCATGACTGCTTAAGTTTTTTTTTAAAAAAAAAAAAAAAATATTTATAATTTTTTGGATAAATACAATATGGAATAATTTTTTTAAAAATATATAAAAAAATATTATAAAATAATAAACAACTAGAAAAAAATAAATAGAATTAGTTTTGTAAATAAAAAATAAAACAAAATATATCAAGTAACAATAAAATTTGTAAATATATATATATAAAGAAAAAAATGATATAGTAGATAACTTAAATCAATTTATAAAAAAAAAAAGAAAAAAATGTAAAAAGAAAGTACAAGAATCATGATTAAGTTCAGTTGCTGGTTTTATTAAAAAAATAATAAAACTATTTTTTTATAATTTTAATAACTAGTTTTATTAACAAGAAAATAAGACTATTTTTTATAACTTTAATGACTAGTTTAGTAGTTTTCTGGTCAGATTAACTTCTAATTAGTGTAACAGACCATTTTTAAGTATTCATAAAAGTAGCTAGAGTATGTTAAATCAGAATTTAAGTCAACTTTGTACAAATATATATACAAGAATCTTAATAAAGGTAATTGGCAAGACTGCCAAAGATTAAAAAAAAAAAGTATAGTTAAATTAATAAAAAAGTTAGTTTATAATTAATTAAGATTATATTTATTCAATTTCTTGATATAACTCTTAAATTTAAGATTAGTTTTTAACCAGTAAAACAAATCTCTTTTAAGCACTTTACTGTAAAAGTAATTAAAAAATATTTAACTAAAAGTTTAAATCAAAATATAGAATTTTATAAAAATCTTAATAAGAATTAATAGCAAAGCTGTTAAAGTTTAAAAAAATTAGATTACAATTAAAATTAAATTAAAGTTAAAATTAAAATACTGTAAAATAAAATTGCAAAAAAAGAATATTATATGTACAACAGTAATTATTTAATTAAAAATTTAAAATATTAGCAATTTTATAATAGAATATATAACGTATATTATGTTTTATTTAGTTTTGTTTAAAAATTATAGTTTTCAAATAAAAATATATAATTAAAATTAATATTTAAGATTTTATTTAAAATTTTTTAAATATAATTTTTTAGCAAAATAATTTGTTCGCTTTACAAATTAAGAAATAATATTTATAAATTTCGCTAATTCTTTTAATACTTGTATAAATACTTTTGCTAATTTAAATATAATTACAATATTTTATCTAATCTAGTAGCTTAAATTAACTATATTTAAAAAATACGTATTAAATTCATACTTACAAAATAAAGAAAAATATATTAAATATAATATTATTAAATGAATTCTTTTTATTTAAATTTATAAAATTCATAAAATCCAAATAAAAAATTTATCAAATTGATTAATAATATAATTTATTAATAAGATAATCAATACTAAAAAAGATCATAATTATAATTTGAAATTTTAAAATTTTGGCAATATAAAATAATTATAAAAATATTCTTGTAACATGTCATAGCCCCAAAAGGTATGCAACGTACCCTTGTGTCGAACAATGAATACATACCGGACATTTATTTGCAACTCTATTTTTATCACACTTTTTTTTATATAGAAATGAGTGGAAAATTTTAAAACAGTATAGTAAAAAAGGTTATAAATCTTATACGTATACAAGTCACCCTCGTCAATATCAACCCGTTAAAATCAACCTAAGCGACATGGCAAATTTTTATAAATTTTTATATATGATTTCTAATTAATATCACTATCAACATGATTTAAAACCGATTCAAATAGGTTGATATTAACGAGGGTGACCTGTACTTGTATAAGTAATAAAGTGATCGTAATTTTAAACAGTTATAATCACATTTAAAAATAGATAACTTTATTTTCTAGACTTTTAAATCGATTTTATATATATTTATTACATATATTAAGAACACAAATGAGAACATTCGTTTTAGCAAAAGAGAATCATGATTAGTTCCAAGTTAGTGCATATTAGTGTGTATGTAACACCCTTTACGTATATCTAAGGTTGAATACTTCTCCATAGCATAACACGCATTGACACGTTGTACATAATTTTAAAAGCTTAATATCAATTAAACTATTTAACGTGAATCAACACACAAAATTGCGCGATAGGCGTATAACCGTACAACAAATAGCGTCACAAACACAAATAATAAAGACAATAGTTTGATACATAGAATATATAATAAGATATGTAGTAATATATAAGATATATAGTAATAATTCAAAATCTAATATATATAGTACGTATACGTATAATAATGCTAAGTCAAGAATAGACAATAACTTGCCTTTATAGGTGTCTTTTAAAGTGGTCTAGTTTAGAGCTAACAAATTCATGCATGATTTAGAAAATTAAAACAAACACATAATGATATTAAAATAATATTAAACCGATATTAAGATCAACTTACTTTTTGTTCGAACAAGGACATATCAATTGCTGATAGAGATTAATAAATTGCATAGTCATAAAGTATTAAAATTGAATCAGGTTTATTACCCGAAAAGTTAATGCAATGGTTATTAATGAAAGTAATGTTAATACGTACGTAGTTAATCGTTGCTATTGTGCATATTACTATTTATCGATTAGTGAATATATTATCTATTCATGTGTACGGGTCGTTCGTGTCATTCGTGAGTAAAAATACTGAAAGAGGGGCAATTAGGAAAATAAATACTTTGAGACTACTCCTATTTATCAAATGATTGGGGGTTAAAGAATTTTGATAACCTGTAAAAGGAAATTGGTGATGAACGTCATTTAAGATTCTTCATCGTATCCAATGATGATGATGATTTATGAAAAACTTGTTATTTACTTGATATGATATCGATATTACTCAATCTTCCCAGGTAACGTAATGGAACACAAAGTCATACTTTTATTTACCCTGTTTACAACTTGAAATTTCCATAGAGATAAGAAAAACCTTAATTACAGAACAATGAAAGGAATCTGTTTCGAGATTTAAAAGAATACCCCTCTCTTCTATGTCTTCTATGGGCAAATTTCTTATCTTGACCACGTGAAATGTTCAACTCGTACATGTAATGCTAAGCCATAGAGATAATCTCAACGCTAAGCTTAAGCTGCATATATGATGTATGTGCGAATGTAGCGGTAGCATATATTCAATTTATCTTGGTTTTCTTTGAGTTAACTATGATCACGTTCGCATATGATTGCATTGTGTTACAAGCTACTTTTTTATTCGGAATATTATAGAAGCTTTCCGAAGTAAAAAACGCAGGGGTCTAACCATTTACCGCCGATTAAACCACTTGTATCATAAGATTATGGGGGATGAGCAACAACTTTTTCGATTTAATTTCATCGTCATAAATTTCAGTAAATCTAATTAATATATAAGAGATAGGCAACGATTTATAATGAAATTCTTTGTACGTGCAGATAAACACTAAATAAACTTACTAATTTATTATATCTTACGATTTTCTGGATTTTTTTGTCCTACACGGCTCAAATAGTTAATATATATAATTCTTTGAGGTCGATTATTCGCCATATATATATATATATATATATATATGTGTGTGTGTGTGTGAGTTAGACACAACGGCTACGTTTTTTTTTTGTGTATATATCAGAAATTTGAATTTTTGTTCATTGATTATTAAAGCTCTCTCAAACCCTGTTCAAACTCCTGTTCAGGTGCCTGTTCCTTTCCAGTACACTGTTGACGAAAATATTTTCCTTTCTCTGCTTTTGGATTCGTGCTTTCAATATTAACGATAACGATAACGTTCTTTTGACGCTCATAAAAAACTGTCCTTCCGACAGGTTTCTCTTGTAAAGGTCCTTGTAAAAAAAAAAAAAAAGAAAAAAAGACAACCGTTCACTAAGTTTAGACTAGTAGTACTTTGAAATCTTCACTATGCCCTCTCGGTCAATATATTTTTATGCTAGTGCTTTCGTTGCATCAGTATTACTCAACGCACATTCAACTTTAGGTCATGATAATTCCACAGGTGGGTTACTCATTATCATTGTATTATGAATTTGTTACTATTTATTCTTAGTTTTTCATATTTGATTGTTCCAATGATAGATTCTTTGATAGATTGTTCTTCCATTACTTCGTGTGGTGAATGTACAACTCATTTAGAATGTGGTTTCTGTGTCTCTGTAAGTATTTCTCTCATTGCCTCTTCACTTTTATTTTTCGCTAGCAAATTATTATTATTGCACTTGTGCCGATTCTTATTATTCCTTCTTAATTATCATTATCATTGATTGATATTATATTATATTATTATTATGTAAAATTATATTAATTATATATATATATTATTATTATTATTATTATTAATTATTACAATCTCTCCCATTATTATAATCTTCATTATTATTCTAATTGTTACAGGCCAACAAATGCGTACGAGCTGGCTGGAAAGGTCCCTTTAAAGATCCATCAATTTGTCCAACTTGGGAGTATGAATACGCCCAATGTTTCGGTAAGTTACACAAATGATTATACTTACGCCATCGAATTCATAATTTTCCTTTGAAATATAGATCTTCAAATCTAACCTTTTATTATGTTTTTAATCAACGTTACATAATAGTTACTCACCAACAAGCTCTTATATCTTTGATCTCTGCTCTTATTGGCATTGTATTTATCTTAACCGTGCTGTGTTTTTGTTGTTGTCTCTGTCGATGTTGTAGATTCAGAGGCAATGATGAGGAGAGAGTTCCCCTTCTTGGTGATACTATTGCAACAAATCACTTTAGACGTGCTTCATATTATAATTACAATAGAAATCGTCCCTTTGAAAGAAGAGGAAGAACTCTAAGTACTGGAACTGCTAATAGCACTGTGCAATACGGGAGAAATTGGCGTAATGGTAATGATGAATATATGTACGGTTATGGGGGACCAACAACTCCTTCAATGCTTTGGGTAAATGATAGTCCTGTTCCAACAGACTATCCATTAGGTTCCCATAGTAGTCTTGGCAACACCGGTGAATGGCGTCGTTGGGAGAAAAAACGTGAAGAATTATTGGCTAAATATGCGAAAAGTAATAATGAAGGATGAATGAAAGATGTTGATTTTTCTCGAAAAATTTTTGTGTAGAAGGGGTGTGTGAGTAGATTTTTTTTTTAATCACCACCTTCGTGTACTTTTTTTTTTAATCACTACATTTGTATTTTTCTTGTAAAAAATTTTATTTGGCTTTTTTTTTTTTAAAAAAAAAAAAAATTTATATTTATTTGTTTCATTTCATGGCTTATTATATATATATATATTATATACTTTCAAAGAACTCAACATCTTTCAAAATCAAAGAACTTTGTATATTACACTTTCATTGATATCCTTTATTATATTCTTTTACATAAATATTTTTCCTTAATATTCACATAACTGCTAAGTTCAAATTCATTTAATGCTTATATATGTATATATACTTTGAATGCATTTGAAATTATTTGGAATTTTGGATCTCATGCGAGTTTAACTCATAAGCAATCGTGTATATACATATTAATTTACATGGTGCGAGAATTCAAGAGAACAATGAATGTTTATTTTTCTTTATTTTATTTTATTCTTTTTTTTTTTTTTTTTTGAACAAAAAGAATTTTTTAATAATTATTCGAAAAAAGATTTATTCTTTAGATCTCTATTTTGTACTAATAATAATAATATATATATAAAAGAAAAAAAAAATTTGAATAAAGAATATTGTGCTGTTCCAAGTATTTAAGCGTCTAACCAATCAAGGAGTTGTGGCGTATAGTAAGTTAAGATTAAGTTGGCCCCTTTTTTTAAGATAGAAAGTATTAATTTTTTGAATGTCAATTTTGATGAATTTTGATGAATGCTATAATTAACATACCAGCTCTTAGAAAAGACTCCATACTTTCAAAGACAGCTGTTCGGAGATCAAAAACCTTTGCTTCGGCCGAATGCCAAATCATTGCAAATTCACCCGAAACTTGATAAACAGCTATAGGGGCATCAGGACACAATTCCTTTGCATCTCGTAATATGTCTAAATATGGCATTCCTGGTTTGACCATTATGATATCCGCGCCTTCCCCAATGTCACGTGTCTAGTGATTATTATGCAGGGGGGTAATAAGTACAAAAAAAAAACAAGAATGCATGTGAATTGAAGATGAAACTTTACAATTGCGCGACGTGCTAAACCTCTAGCGTTTGGAGGAAGTTGATAGCATTTACGGTCTCCAAAAGCTGGTGCTGAATTTGCTGCTTCTCTGTAAATTTAAATCATTTGAGTAATTATTTTAAACATTGTAAGAACATTTATTGCATTTATTGTAATGATATGATCTATTACCTAAATGGCCCATAAAAAGAACTAGCAAATTTCGCGCTGTAACTCATTAATAAAATTTTATTACCAAGTTTCTCTTTGATTAATGATTCTTTGATAGCTTTGATTCGTCCATCCATCATATCTGATGGTGCGACACAATGGGCTCCTTTAAACAAAATATTTAATTAATAATCAAAAAAAAAATCGTTCTAATATTTTTAAGGTTAACTAACCAGCTTTAGAATATTTTATCGCCACTTCGGCAATGCGTTTAACACTAGTCAAATTATCGATAGTACCATCTTCATTCAAGTATCCTAACAAGTAACAAAGAATTTGATTATCATAAAAAAAAAAAAACTTGATGTGATAATAATTTAACTTGCTTTTTTAATTTACCACAGTGACCATGATCTGTATATTCACAAAGACAAACATCACAAGCAATAAATAATTCGGGAAATTTATCTCGGATAAGTTTTATGGCTAAAATTACTGGTCCATCTGGATCATCAGCTTTTGACCCTGTCGCATCCTTTAATTTCGAATTAATAGAATTTCATAAGTTTATTCATGTAATGAATATAATTAATGTAAATGAATGTAAATGAATGTATATGTAATGAATAAATAAGTACACAAAATAACTGGCCAATGATTGGAAAAAAAAATAAAATTTACCTTTCCGCTCGTAGGAACACCAAATAATAATAAAGATTTTAACCCTTTTTCAACAAGAGGTTTAAGAAATCCTTCAAGTTTATTAATACCCCATCTTTATTTTATGGTATATAATTTAAAAAATATAAAGTTATATAATATCTTGTACGAATTTAAATATACCAATTAAAAAATATCTTCAACAAGCACAAAGTATTTGTATTATAAATCATATTTCTAAATCTTTTGTTTATTGGTACCTAATTACCTTTTTTGACCAGGTAAAGACGAAATATTTTCTTCTGCATCAGGTATATCAGTTATAAAAATTGGATACATTAACGAAGCTTTTCGTAAACTTCTTTCCGATTGCCATAATCTAGATGTCGGATGATTATAACCTCCTTGAAGAATAGAAGAAATATCTGCCATTTTTTATTTTTACTTTTTTATTTTTTTTTTTTTTAAGGGGAAAAAAATTTAAGAATACGTATAGGAGATTCAGACGAATATGTGTAGTCAATTATGTAGTAAAGTTATTTTCGTAATATAATCTGCAAATCTGAACTGCAGAAAAAAAATATACGTACATACGTATACTGTTACGCCGTCTTATTAAAAAAGCTTGTTGATCAAAAAAAAGTTTAACGTTAATATGTTTCATAATTTCATACGTACGTACGTACAGAACGTACCACGTATTAATTTTTCATACGTATGAATTTGTATCACTAAACGAAGTCTTGATAGGATTTCCCTTGATAGGATTCCGTGTTCTCTATTTGGCGTTACTCATTAGACATATCGGTAAAATCGATTAACATGGTTACTAAGCAAATTCAAAGAAAAATCCTCAGGGCGTTGCTATTCAAGATTAACGAATATTAAAAACTGTCTTCCAAACAAAAATTATGTAATTGTAAATCATTAAAAAAAAAAATCCCAATTAATTTGAGAAGTTGAACTTATTTCGTCATTCGTCATAAATAGAATAAAATAAAATAAGCTTAAGTTTGTATATTTACACATGAAAATTAACCAATCATTTTCATTTTCGCTATATCATAATCACAATCACTTCAGTCACTCATGTGTTAATTAGTATCACATTAACAATAACGATAAGAAAAAAAATGTTGCTATACTAATTATCACATGGTTTGGGACGTCCCAAATCTTTTTGGTTACTCTACGTACGTAGTCAAACCTCTCTGAATGCATTCCCCCAAGTTTGGGAACTTGGTTTAAATGCATATTCCTTTGCCCTTTGCACGTGTATAAGATTTTGCTGCCAAAAATCTATCGCTATGCATATGCGCCCTTCGTAAGCCATTTGGTTATAAATTTATCTCATACAGGGAGGTCATAGGAATACCTCGAAATCATGCCCAGCAGGACCGGAATTACCTAATTTTGCTCAAGTTACTAAAAGTTTTACTCATGATGTCATAGTCCTACTTATTACTGTTTTAAGTAAATCTGCCGGCTTAAATCTAACGAGACCTCCGAAACTTAGTTGTGACGTCATGTGATATTAGAATCCCAATATTCAAGTTCCGATTTGATTAGTAACGTACATTGCTGATCAAAAACGGTGCTTGAATAACGAAACTTTGATATCATATGATATATCAACTAAGTTTTAGAAATTTATTCCGGTTACTTCAAACTGGAAAGCTCTTAACAAATGAAGTTCAAACATTATTAAACCTAGAAGATTTTAAAATTTTAAGAGATAAGGTGTGTTGTTTTTATTTTGCAAAATTAGAATAACTTCTAAGAGAGTGAGAGTTTGCTTAGAAGAATTACTAGATATGAGCACTTGGTAACCACTTCATAGTTCTTTATTTGGGCATCTTAACTTTGTTGATTCTTTGTTCTTTGTTGTTAGTAAAGACTGTTGATTCTAAATAAAAAACCAGTTATATATTTTTCTTTATCACTAAATAAAAATTATATATTATTAATAAATGTCTTTATAATAGATCAGTTTAGATCAAGAATGTTATGTAAAAAATTTAAAGGATTATTAAATAAAGTTTACACTTATTTTTAATTTATATAATATATAAATTTTAATATTATTTTTGTTTATTTTTTTAAAATTAAAAATATAACATCAAAAAATACAAACAAAAAAAAAGTATATTATCTGTATATTATCTGAAATAGAAGAAAAAATAAAAATAAAAAAAAGATCTTATTAAGAACTTAAATGAATAAAAAATGCTTATCAAAAATAAAGGTTCAATTAATTTATAATTTTATTTTATAATTAATGAAGATTTTTAAATAAGCTAACAAAGTATAATTCTTCAAATCATTTTTTAAAAGATTCTAATAATAATGATAATAGTAATAATAATTATAATAATTTTAATAATAATAATAATTATAACAATCTTAATGATAATAATAATCATAATAATTTTAGTACTAACAATTATCATAATAATCTTGATAATAATAATGATATTGTTAATAATAATAATTTTAGTAATAATAATATTATTAGTAATAATAATAATTTTAGTGATAATAATGATATTGTTAATAATAACAATTTTAATAATAATAATAATCTTAATAATAATAATATTAATAGTAATGTTTCAAATATATATTTTATTATTGTAATAAATGAATTAACAAATTTAATTAATAATTTTGAAAAAAATATAGATTCATAATCATCATTACTAAATACATTAACAACAATAGTAATACTATTATTAGATATGACAACAATAATGTCATTATCTTAAATATCAAGATATAGTTTTATAAAAAAAAATATATACAAGTTAACAATTTTGGTATTAATAATAATTATAATGATATTGATAATAATAACAATTATGTTAATAATAATAAAAATAATAATGATATTGATAATATCTCAATTGTTTATTTTATTGCTACAGCAAATAAATCAACTACATTATTATTAAATAATGATTTTAAAGAAAATACAGAATTATAATCATTATTATTAGATATAACAACAATAGTGATAACAATGTTATTATTATTATTATCATCTCAAATACAAAAATACAATCTTTATAAAAAAAACATATAGACTCATCATTATTACAAACACAAATATATAATTTTTAAAAAAGTAAATATATAAGTTATAATTATAGTTATGTAACAAAAAAAAATAGAAAAAATAAATCATTATATAATTTTTAAAAAAGTAAATATATAAGTTATAATTGTAGTTATGTAACAAAAAAAAATAGAAAAAATAAATCATTATTACAATTATAATTATAATCATTATTATCATTATAGTTATAATTAAATTATATAAAATATCTTATATATTGTATATAATTATTTCTGAACTAAAATTGTAAATAAATTTTATAAAATAAAATAATTAATATAGTAATAATTTTTACAATATCTGATATATATATGTTTTTTTATATATGTATCTTAAAATTTATTTTAATATATTAATATAATGATATATAAGATTAAAAAATTTGAACAATAATCTTTTATTAAAATTTGAACAATAATCCTTTATTAAAATTTAAACATTTGATCATATGATTTTTTAATTTAATTCTTTAGCTATTGTTAAATATATATAATTTTTAGAGATAAAGTCTTATTAAATAATAATAATATATTAACTTGTATTTTTTTCTTATTTTATAAAAATTATATGTTAAAATAAAAAATAATAAAGCTTTTTTTATTAAATAATATTTTTTGTTAGAATAACAATATATAAATAAAAAAATATATTAAAAAAAATTTTAACTGGCATGTTCATCACTAAGAACATTTTTATATTTCAACAGAAATTTAAATTCTTTTATTATTTATATTTTACGCTTCTTATTTCTAATAATGTTATTAAGTTCAAATAATTTTCTATTAAATTTTAATATAACTTATCTCTTTTTAAAAATATATTATAATTTTTTTTTTGGATATTAAATTAGTCTCTTTTGAGACTAAGGCTTTATTTAGTAAATTAGAACATAGAAACTTGCAGCTGAAGTCTTAAAAAAGTCACCTTATATTAAAGAGTACAACTAGCCACATGTACACTTTTGGTATCTAATTTAAGTAGTTTGCTAATGATTCTATACTACTGCCATACTTGCAACCCAACTAAAGACATTATCTATTTAAACTCTTTGTACTGCAATTCTACTATATTACTAGATCATCTCTGATACAGATGTCAGTCAAGAAAGTTTAAATATTTTTACTCATACCTTAGAACTCCATATCTTATTTTATACAATATATTCTCAAAAGCATTATTACTAAAGCTTTTTATATCTTATACATAGCTAACCTAGTTTTATATAACATGTTATAATTATCTAATACTTGCAGTTATAGAAGTTACTTGTTTAACCACTATGTTATATTATTTCTACTTTTATAAAGTTCACTCAAATCCCAGTACCTGTCTTTTTAACTTCTTTTTTTTATTCTTCTACTATTTAACTTAGAATCTGACAGACTTTTCAACTTTCAATTCAGATAGCTTAGTATGTTATATCTTAGTATCCTTTTCTTCTAGCAATTTTGGCAGTCTGGTTGGTCATGTGCTTCTCTACACATCTTTTCATCCAATTACATTCACCTATTTCTTATTAGGTTTTCTGGGCTTCTATCAGTTCAATAGCACTATTGAAGATTTGTGCTATCTTTTTACTTAAGAATTTCCAAGTAGTCTTAGTTTTCTTGATTCTTTGGTCTTTTATATCTGATGGTCTTATTATGAGTTTGCACTAAAGTTTTATATGATATTAGTTATTAATATTCTTTTATGTATATATAATGTTACACTTCACATAAATGCTCTAAGCTTCCAATGATAAGTAGAATCCAATTAGTTATACTTAAAATTATAGATACCTAAATCCAACTGATTGACAAAAAACAGTTTACAATAATACAAGTTAATTACCAAATTTTATTATAAGTGGGATTTAAACCTCAGATCTGTTACTTGAAGGATGACAATCTAACTACTATAATAGGATCACCATCCACTATACTATAATTTTGTAAATAATACAAATAGGATATAGATATAAGAAAATTATATAATACAAACTTTATAAAATAATTAAAAATATATAACTTACAAAAAAAGCTTTTTTTTACTAAGCTTATGCAGATTTTTAAAACTATCTTTACAAAGGCTGATAAATTTTTATTTATTCAAAAACTTGAACTAATTACAAAAATTAATAATATATATATTTTTTTATTTTATTTTTATTTTATTTTTTTTTATCTTTAAGCAGTTATGCTAGTATTTTATTAAGATTCTTGAAACTATATATATCTAGAAT